TCAAATGATTAAGTTAACCACTTCATATATAGTTTTTACAAAGTAGTAAATGTTTCTGATATGTTCAACAGAATATTCTATTTATAATAAAATAAGTAAGTAAAGGATGAAGTGTATTTTTTTTGTAAAAAAATAAGGTTGTGTCAAACACAATAATCTCTTGCAAAGCAAACAAAGTTTGCTCCATGTATTGGGACTGAGAAAGGGATTTTTATTCCTACTGTGATGCATAGCAAACCAAAAAATACTGGATGAACTAAATTGAAATCTTTGCAAGAGATTTATCTATACTTTTGGCAAGCTGTTTACTTTTCCATGAGAGAATCTGGGTTAGAACTCCCTATAGAGCCTCAAAATGCCTGTAAATCAGTTGTACTGAATGTCACCTTAGAGATGGTGTTTACACCCTTGAGTAGTTTGTGTCATTGTTATAATGATAAACTTCTACTTTGCAGTAATAAACTTCCCTCTATTTGATATATTATTCAAGGATTAGCCAGCACAGTTGAAGTTGGTGCATGTTTTTTCTCTGAAGCTCAGTGTTTTTGGAGCTGTACTGTTGGAAATAAAGCATAAAATGAGATTAGTTCCAAGTCAGGCTGGTGCTGTTTGTGAGGTTAACTCTATTTCCAGAATTTCCTGTTGACTTCAGTTCTATCTCAGGAAGGTCCTGCAGCAATGTAGTGGCACTACTTCACAGGTGAAAGTTTTCGCTCTTGCACAGAGAAACTTAGATCAGAATTAAGATGACTTTTTATTTTGTTTGTGCTTTCTGGTCACTGGGCCCTCCTGGAAGTCAGAAATATCACTAGGGCAATTCAGAAAGACCTGCCCAAACAGCTACAGCTCTGTATTCTCATAAGTCCTGTGCATTTCTGTTCAGTCCCATACACTCATTTTTGTCTTCTGTTGAACACCTCAAGATGTGTTCATCTTATTAAACCTCTGGTTGCTTTTGCAGTCCTGGTGCTGTCACAGAGGTACAATCAACACATTGGCCAGCATGCAGTGCTAAAATGCAATGAGCCTTGTACCAATCCAGTTTGACAGCTAACAGAGTCCCAGTGAGCTGATTTAAGGTAAACTCATGCTCAATTTCTATGCCAGGAGATATTTTTTTTTCCGATTCCCCACAAGGCTGTGGGATGTAAAAGCCCATTTACCTGGAGTTGAGAGGATAAAGTCTCACTGAGTTAGTCATTGACACAATTCCAAATTACAGCTGGACATGCATATTTGCAAAATTAGTTCTTCTCATTGTATGACTATAGCCAAATTAGGCTGCATTTCAGCCAGATTTTAACAGGTCTTAGAAGCTAATGGCGTTTTCACCAGGTCATATACCAGAATCCAGTTTGAGCCTGCTGGCTTCCTTATTAATACTTTAGTTAGGAAGAGAAATAAAGTGTAGTGAGAATTCTAATAAGAAATTTATAACGGTTTCAAGCCCCTTACTTTTCCACTAGAAAGTTCCAAAAATTTAAACAAAAACAGATTAAAAAAAAAAAAAAAAGCTTTGCTGCATTACACAGTGCTTGTCATCCTTCCACAACTTTATGGCCACAGAGTCCCCTCTGCTCTCAGATTTGTCACCAGAGGGACACTGCTCACCTTGTAAGGCTCTAGCCTGCTTTTGTAAGGGGCAATGCTGAAAAGTCAAAAGCTGTGGGCTGATTAATCAGCACAGAGGTACTGGGTCAGTCCTATCGCCTTTCATTCTTGGTCTTAATTTCAAAATAATCAGGGTCTGTCCTTATCTGAATGATCCATGATAAATAGCAAAGTTGTATCTGTGTGTGAGTCTTTACTGTTACTTTTAATACATCCCCTTAGATGTATTTATTTATTGACTGATTCATTTATGTAAACTAAATTCTGGCAAAACACATAATTCTAGACTCATCCTATTAATTTGAGTTTCATGTGCAGCATTACCTGCACTTCTACAAGGTGCACAGAGGAGTCTGTAGACAAGAATTGTCTGGGTGCAGTCAAAGGAGACTTTGTACAGAGAATCCCAGATTTGCCTTTCCTCAATGGTCCTGAGCAATGGTCATGTTGAAGGTTTTTCTCCCTATGGATTAGGATGTCACCCATCACTTATTTATGCATGTAAGGAGCTGCCAGTTTTCCCTACAACTATCTCTTGTCTGCTATTTTGATGTGAACTCATGTTTCAACCTTTCTTCACTCATGTCAGGAAATAATTTTTTCATCCTTTTTCAGCTGTTATTTTGCATAAATGTATAGCCCTTAAATGTCTTGAATTCTTTTTCCTTGGAAAAATTTCTGGAAGTTATGCAACAGATTTTTAGGGCATCGCAACCAGGGCACAGAGGCAGATAATCAGATGGTGTAATCTTACAAATTTATAGAAAATATTATAATTTCTTTTTTCTTCAATGGTCTCTTTTTTATTTGAAGTAACTTAGCTCCTCTGAATTAACAATTTAATGGTCAACAGAACTGGAAATAATATTTTGACTTTCTACACTTTCAGATCCTTAACTTGATAAGATATCTTCCTCGTGGTTTTATTTTGTGTATACTGAAGCACAGTAATATCCAACAGGTTTAAAATGTTTCCATGGTTATATAATACAAAATAAGACTTCAAATGTGAATTTTATATTCCAATAAATTTGGTGACTCTTGATTTTAAAGCATATTAGATCATCCATGAATAGGAGGCCTTTGGAGCATCAGCCTGTTTAGGAACAAGTGGTGGACAGCTTTGGAGAACTTCTCTTCTTGGCATATTTTTATGATAATTCAGCTATTGAAGATAATTTACAACTCTGCTGGTTCTATACCAGAGACCTTATGTGATGGAATTTATATCACTTTTCCTTTTAGACATTTAAACCACATGTCATTCTAGAAAAACGAGGACAGAGGTCCAACAAAGGAGTGATTTATTTTCAGTTAAAATACTAGCTACATTAAAACCACATGTTATTAAGTACTGTATAACCAAACCATGCTCAGAAGAATGCTTACGACACCAAAGCTTGCTTAAAATGACTTTTTTTTTTTCCCCCAAAAAAAATCTTTGGCAGTGCACACATTAACAGATTTTTCCTGAGCTGTACAGTACATTGACTATCCTTCTCCCTTGGAGAAAAAAAAACAACCATTAAAGTGCTGTAGTACAAATTAATTCAGTTCCTTATTATTTTTCTTTCTCACATTTCTGGATGCTTGAACTTCTCTGTCCCTTCCAGTTATCATTTCATCTCTGTAAGTATCCCTCCTGAAACAGCAGAATACAATTAATGATGCTATGACTGAAACATAGTTTTTCAGAGTGAAACTATTTGTATTTGGGGCATATGAGCAGCATGACCTCTCATAGTGCTCCTTTGAGAAGAGTAAACTAACACACAGAACTAGTGCACATGAATCCAAGATCAGGAGAGAAATAGGAAGAATAGAATTGAGGGGCCCCAATTTTATTTTCAGAATGCAGATGCTGAGGACAAGTTTCTGTCCTCATTATGCTAGACTTCCACACTACACTTCCACACCAGATTGCCTAGGACTTGAAGGGAATTTTTAATGCTAATGTTGCCAAGTGAGTTATCCAAAGCTCAGTGGGAGTGACAAGTGAAGGATTTACCCTGTAAAAAGAAACTTCTGCCATTCCAGTGAGTTTCCAGGCTGGTTCTGTGAATGTGTGTCTGGATCACACTGGCACAGAGAGGGTGCTTGAGGGACTGGGAATTCCGCTGGCTCACCTGTGTGCTCCTAGGAATGTAAACTTCTGTCAAGTGCTGTTGATTCATTGGTCATATTCTGTTTAATTTGCACCTTGCATGGACTAGAAAGGCTGTTCCCATTCTTTTGAAGAACTGCACAAGCATTTATGAATCACCCCAACACCACTGTCTCACAGGTAATCAGTGAAGAAGTTTAGCCTTAAAATGGGATTTACCACTTTCTATCAAATAGTCTTTAAACCAAACAGGGATCAGAGGCAGAAAATTTCTCTGCTTGCGTGTTTGAAATCATTCTAATTCAGATGTTACAGTCACATCTTGAAGTCATTAATACTACCTTAAGCTTGCCTGGTATTCTCATTTTTCCTGAAATTGCTTAGCTCAAGCAGATTCTGCAGTTCTGATTCTGCATCAGCAACATGCTAAAATTTGTAGTGTAAAAGGTACAACAACTTATGTTTTGTGTCTTTTTTAAGGTCTTGGCTGCATAACTGACATAAAGTATATGTAGTAGACAATATAGTTTGTTTGACAATAGAAACTCCACCAAATTAAAGCTGGCTGGTTTGCTGTTTGGTCTCTTGGATGGAGACCAACACCAAGTAACAAAGGAGGTGGTGCAAGAGACCTCACAGTGGACAAAAAGGACCATGTGATAGGCTTGATGTCCCATTCTTAAATCATAAACTGTCACATTAAATTTTAGCATAATATGAATCATTCATGTCCAAACTTATTATTTCATCACCTTCCCAATAAGTACAGTATATATATATATATATATTTATTTTACCAGCCTGGTGGTGACATCTGTAGTTACAGCTGAAGTTCCTGCCTAGCTGCAGTAAGTAGCAAGTACAAGCCAGCTGTGCTCCTGCTGCCTCCTTAGCCTTTCCTGAAGCACTGGAAAGGGGTTGTTGCCACCATCTCTGGAAGAATATTGTGGTGTGTGCAGCGTGACAGCTATTGCTGTGTTCAATTGAGAGGAGAAGCCCTGTTTGGGTTTCTACTCCTTGGTGGCGTTTGGAACAGAAAGTTTGTCCGTCCAGGCATCTCTCAATTTTATTTCCCCGTTACGGATAATTGTCCAGAAAGTATTGTCCTGCATTGGTTTGTTTTCCCTAAAAATAATGCAAGTTGATTGTACTTTTTCACTTATTAAAATTCTTATTCTCTTTGCACAAGTCTCATGGTTGTCTTTTTCATAATATGGATCATCACCTATCTTTTTTTCATATTGCATCATCCAACTGACTTGACTTACCTTTTCTCTTTCTCTAGATGTTTCCAGATGCGTGGCTGAGAGGAAGTACACGCAAGAACAAGCACGCAAAGAATTTCAGCAAGTGTTCATCCCAGAATGCAATGATGATGGCACATATAGTCAGGTTGAAAAATTTTTATTCTGTGTCTTGCATGACTGGAAGGTCAGAGTATGAGTGTTTGAAAAGGCCAAGGAAGAGACAAATGTAATGAAGGGAAATGTAATTTCAAAACTAAATGTAATTTGTACCAACATGTCAAAAAAAAAAAAAAGAAGGAAAATCTGTGTTGTGTTGAGTACTTGTTCTATTTTTCACAGTTGGCCAGCAAAAAAGCCAAACATTACCACTGTTGGTGTAATACACTCCCTGTTCTTCTAGGATGAGGCAGCTGAATCATTCTTGTAGCTCCCTGAATACTCATCAGATGGTAAAATGCTTGGAATTTGTGATCTGTTCCTGATTTGAACCAGAAATCTTGCAACTGGAATCCATATTTTAAGTGCTAAATCATGAATCATACAGAATCCTTCTATATTCTCTGCTTAATTTCTTCACAAGCATGTGGCCTGAAACTAATTTACTTAGATCACGGAATTCAGAAGGAACACAGTTAGAAGCTTATCCTGAGGTATATTTTCCAATTATGAACCCCTTCTGTCCCCTCTGTACTGCATTTTGATCCTGGAGTTGTGCAGAAGACAACTTTTCTTTTTTTAAGCGTGATGAGGCAAGTGATATTGGCCCTTAGAAAATATAATGCAATTGGTTTTTAAGAGGAATTCCAAGAGTTTCCTTTCTGACAGCTTGGGATATGAATAATGCTGGCAGAAGCACTCTGTCCTGCTCCTTCAGTGGGTGGAACAATATGTTCTCTATGTGGGAAAAAACTCAGGATTGCTTGTTTCAGGAACAGTTTATGTGTCCCTTGAGGAACTTCCTTGTGAGGTTTTTATAACACCTGCACCTCACTCGTCCAAGACAGGGTGTAAACAACCACATAGTTCAATAGTTTTCTCTTCTATTTGATTCTGAAGGACCTACCATACTCGCTTGAAATATGCTTTGAGCTAAAAAATCATATGTAGGACTGAGATGAGCCCGTTGTGGTTTATTGTTCTAGGTTTTATCCATACAGTTTGCTGGGTAGGTTTCTGTACTCACGTGCCACAAGTGCTGTGGGATAACAGGCATGTGTCTGACAAGCTGCACACGGTTCTTGTTGTTTGTGACAGGTTCAGTGCCATAGTTACACTGGGTACTGCTGGTGTGTCACTCCCAATGGCCGTCCCATCAGTGGTACTGCTGTGGCCCACAAAACTCCCCGCTGCCCAGGTAAGTCTTGTTTGTCTGGCTAGGTTTTGGTGGTATGCCATGAACAGCAGTTTGTCTGTGGGATCTGATTAGACCTAAGCAAAAGAAGTTTTCACTAGAAGAGTGGCTCAGCCTGGAAACAGGTGGTGGTGGATGCCCTGTGGGTGCCCCATCCTTGGGGTATGGTAAAATTCAGCTGGATGAGGCTCTGAGAAAGTTGGTCTAGCTTTTCATGTAGCCGTGCATGAAGTCTGAGGTCACTGCCACCTTAAGCCTTCCTGTGATTCTGGGATCCATCTACTTTATTTGTACGTTAATCTAGCTTTTGAAGGTTTTCCGCAGTGGTCATTTTTACCATATTTGTGTGTCCGCGTATGAAACCAGATGACCGAATTGCTGATATATCACTTTATGTTATAATCCCTCTTGCACAAAAACTCATTGCAAAAACATTTCAGGGAGATTTGCATTTTTTGATAATTCAATATTTAGAGTACAGAAAAAAATGTAGTGGGACTGCCCATTTGAAACATAGCCCAATGAAAGAACTCCCACAGCACATTCCACAAATGACCAAATCCAGAGGAGAAATAATAAAATAAAAACATTAAGAGCAAAATTAAAAAATTGCCTGCAGAAATTAACTGGCAAATTGAACTCACTGCCTTGCAGGCTGCCTTTTGTCTTTCATCAGGACAATTAACAGGTTCTGTTTTTCAGGGGTTTGCTTCTGACCCTATTTCATTAACACTTATGATAAATACAAATCCCGAGTGTATGGATAGTTGTCAGAATCACTGTTCATGCCCCTTGAGGTTGAGAAAATTTTACAGAAATAGCTCTACAAATATTTGCACACTCTGTATATTGTATAACCATTTGTGCTGTGGCACCATTCTCTGTCAGAAAGTGGAAGACATAGCTTTAAAAAGCTAATCCTGCAATGTGAACAAAGCTGAGAAAGAAAGTGAATCAGGGAATTTACCTGTCCTGGTCTACTTCAATCATTCAAGTACAAGCTTGATGTTTTCAATAAATAGATGGAGGAAGGAAGAGACCACTGCAGAAGTTTCAGCAAAGTTTATAGATAGTTATTTTTATTTTTAAGGTCTTTCTAGTTAAAATGACTTGCAGAATTTTCCCACATCTTGCCTGTAGGTGAACTTTATTCAGAAATAATACTCTTCAGAATATTCCTTTTAATCCAGTCTGAAAAGTCGCTGTGAAACAAGACTCAATTGTAAAAAAATAATTTAAAATATTCAGAAACCTTAAATAGTTGAAAATGTGCATTTATTTTCATTTTAGTGTTATTATCAATTATAACTGGTCACATCTTCAGAGGACACATGGATGTGTCTTTAATTGTGGATGTGCCATCCTTGGAAATGTTCAGGGCTGGGTTGGATGGGGGTCTGAGCAGCCTGGTCTAGTGGAAAGTGTCCCTGCCTGTGGCAAGGGGTTTGGAATGAGATAAACTTTAAATTCTCTTGCAAACAATTCTGTGATTCTATGATGCTATGGCTAGGACAGCCTTTTAGTGCTTCAGTGTAATTTTGAGTAAAGATGTTTTTACATGTCCATAGCCAGAGCTTCTCTGAGAGTGCACCTTTGTTTCTGTCTCTGCAAAGTCCATTTTTATATCCTCCATTTATACCCTCCTGCCTGTCCTTTCACTAATATCAGTGAAAAAAGGGTTATGCTGAAAGTTCAATAAATAATTGTTTGTCAGGTGTCTTATAACACATGGCACTATTTTGGCTCAAAATATTGAATTATTTGCTATGTTTTCACTTTTTGTATTTGTACTGATAGTACTGAGGAGCAACTGCAGTGTAATTCCCAGAAAATTGATCAATTAATATGAGAATTATTCTATATCACTACAGGAACCTAACCCTAGTTCCTCTCAAAGGTATATTCATGTGCCTAGCAGATAAACTGCTGGACTGCTTCAGCTCATTTTTGGAGGGATGGGAAGGGAAATTGTTTTTACAGAAATGCTAAGGTGAAGGTCATAATAGCACTCAAATTGAATTTAGTAGCTCAGAGATAAATAAACTGCTCCAGGGCACAGGTGAGTATTCAGAGTCTGATTTTGATCCATGGAAAGATTTTGAGTAACTTTTCAGTTTTCATGAGACCCCGTGGGATTGTCTCTGCACATTTCGTCCCCTGCTTGTATCAGTGTTCTCATGTTTTACAGTTCATCACTTCTCCTTTGTCCCTCAGGAAAGAAGTCCAGCCACAGCAGAGTTTGGAAGGAAGAGTTGAAATGCTAGGGGATTTTACAGTGGTATTGGCTAAGGACTCAGTTTTGAGAAATCTGGAGAAACCTTCTCATTCAACAGAGAAGGCAGCTACAGATTTTCTCAGAAAGTTATGGGGTATAATAAAGCAAAACTTAGTTCTTTTATTACAAAATGAAATTCTGATGCACAACTGCATCTTTCTCCCATTTCCAAGTATATATTCAAAATTGCCATCTGTTTAGGATAACAGAGATGGGTTTTTTTTTCCTTGCAAGAGTGTTGATGTTTTCCAGATCACTTTTGATTCCCTTTTGTGCTTTTTTATTTAGTACGACTATGCACAGGAATTGTAACCCAAACTTCAGTGGGTCAACTGAAACTGTGTAGATACATTCCTGTTTCAACTAGTATTGCAGAGATGCCATTTTTGCCAATACTGTTGTCCCTTTTTAGTCCAATACACTGTGTCTTGCTAGCCTTGATGCAGGAATTGCCTTTCTATTTCTGATATGTGGGCAGATCTCCTGCAGTGGTGGCATCCTGACACCAGCATGTTTCTTTATTCTCACTGCTTCTTTGTATTCTGCAGGCTGGGTGCTGTAGGTGTTTCAAAGTCGTTCATACAAATTTCTAAGCTTGCTTGTATCATACCTTTTTCTCCCAAGATCACTTTTGCTATCTTTTTCCTTTAGAGGAAAACTTGTACAGACAATTGAGATGCTTTTCTAATGATTTTCTTACAGGTATTGTGCTACTATAGAATGTATGAAATTTTTTCCCTTTAATGAAAATATTCAGTTAATTTTCATTTCTAGGTTAGTTCTTCAGCAACTTCAGATAAGGTTCAAATACATTTCTAATCAACTGTGCTGTTCTGCAATTACAGGATAATTTCTTGCCTTTCATTTTCCCCCAGTGGAACTATCTTTGATGAATGCCCAGAAATAAGAAAGAAGAAAATGGCAGTCTGGAAGAACTTGAATTTCAGTAGTGGAAATACAGAGCAAAATTTAGGATGGGCACTTAGGAGTTTGGTTTAGGAATTCCAACCCCTATCCATGTTTCCCATTTACTGTGTGACACTGGATATGCAAAACAACCTCTACATTTCCCTAACTGTCAAGGTTGGTTAGCTGAATAACATGGTGTTTCCTAAAGTTATCTCAGGTCCAAAAAGTGTCCCATATCTATTTTTTGTGTATCAACAACAGTTGCCTGTGCCATTTTTTTGCTCATTGACTTGTTTTTGTTGCTCTTATTTAAGCTGCATTTTGTGCAAGAGACATAAGATATGGAAGGATGAAGGTCGTAAGCAGCATTAAAAAATGCGGGACTTTCCAACTGTTTTATGTAAACCCTTGCTTTAATTACTATATCTTTATCTGAAAGAGGCTCTTCTTCCATCCTTTTCAGTTTTTCCCACATCAACATTTGGTACTGCTAAGACACACATGATAAATCTCAAAATACTGTTCCACTCCATGAAAATAGTCTTCACTATTGCAGGAGCAATAGTGAGAGGGACAGTAAATCAAACACATTCCCATGGTGGCGTTAAAAAGAAAACTCCTTAAAAATGATTAATGTCTCCCAGTACTTTCACTAAAGGGCACCAGACATAAAAAAAAGACATTTTTACAACTCTCCATCTCTGTTATCAGCTCTACAGGGAACTACAGAAATTCCTTAGGCAGGGAGTCCTGAGAAATGGGGCAGAAGTGAGAAGCAGGTGTTATATTATTGGAAGATACAGTCTTTGTCTATTGTAGGGGGTTTAGGCCCATTAAATATGCTGGGCTGCTGCCAGTGAGACTGCAAAGGTATGGAGATATATTTTGTTCTTCTGTGAAGTAGTTTTGCTCTCTTTTGATTAAGATGGCATGATCATCTTTTATGGCCAACATACAAGTAACTAGTTTTAGAAATTCAGAACTCCTCCAGTATAGTATTGTGATCAGATAACGTGATGGAAAAAATATATTCGGGAAGGCAACGAACTTTTAAAGTTTCTATTAAATTGTATTCATTACCTGGAGAAAAATATCTGTCCTTGAACCATCTAGATATTTAGTCCTCATACATAGTTCTTTGCCTGTACATACACAGTCAGACACAACCATAGGTGAGGTAGGGGGAGTTTGCCTTTCCTGATATCTGCATTCAGTGATTATACATCAAATATTCTCTCGTAGGAGATCAGAAATCATTATCTAAACTGGCTAACAATAGGCTTTCACTTTGTTTTTTTAATAGCCCAGTCCCATATGATCAGAATGATAGGAGATGGATATGCTAAAATCAAAAACCACAAAACTCATATCACATTCCCTGGAGGATTTATTGTGCCTCAGATGCTGTTACAGGGAAATTAGATAGAATTGTAGGGTTTGCAATAAACTAAGGCATGAATATGTCTGCCTTTAAAAAAGAAAAAAACAGAATATTAAATAGATAGGTGGCTAAGCAAGCATCCAAGCTTGAATGGTGCTGAATTCTTCCTCTTGATGTAATGCTGCTGAATCTAATATCCCTCCTTGTCCTCCATCATTCCATAGGGATATTGATTTATGTGCTGATTTGGTTGCTTACAGTGTACTGAAAATTTGGAAGCCAGTTTCATTGCCTGACTTTTAGATAAGTTATAAGTTGGTTTTGTTTCCTGCCTAGCTGAAAATGTGGGGATTCATCTTGATATTGAAGACACAATTTCCTAAAAACTTGCAAATGCAGCTTCCCATCATCACTTCAGCTACAAGTGCTTCTACCTTAAATATATTCAGGAAATGGTAGAAAAAAGATAGAAACTCAATAACTCCTTACCTTGAATTTGGAGACAACAAGAAAAGTTTATGCTGCATAAATTGAAAATTTCAGGTGGAACTATATGAAGGGCACAGGTTTTATTTTATAGGAAATTCTGTGAATATTATTATTGACTTCTTAAGACTATTAAAAAAAGTAATGTTAGCCCAGTAAACCTAATTTTCATAGAATCCATCCAACTTCGTACTGAAATTAGATTTGGTATAATTATGTTAGTTTTTAGTACTAGTTAATGCCATTTTCCTCCTCCATCCATTTCCTAATTTTTTCATGAAAATTTAGGTTAAAAAAAATAAAATTCAATTCTCTCAGACTTTAGTCATTCTCACCGTTTCTCATATAGATGAAGTAATGTGAATGCATCTGGAAAGATTTTTCTGCTTTTAGTTTAAGATGTATGATATTATATAAATTTCACCAATGTGTTAAATTACTTATGTATAAACTGAGTTCAATTTGTACTAATAGTTCTGATGTACATAGAGAGACAGCATTGGTGCCAAACTGGAGCAGAGTGAGTATCAGTAGCAGTTCATCACACACATTGCCCCTGCTGAGACATAATTTCTACTCACAAATGAAAAGCCGGTTTAAAATGCTTGTGTGACTGAGAGTCGGGCCTAAAATATCAGAGTTTGCAAGGAAATTATAATTATAAGTCTGTGAACCAAAATGAAATTCAGAAACTACAGAGTTAATAGTATCTGGATGAAATTTGAGGAAAGATTGGATCACTAGTATTTGGTGCAATTAGAAAAACCTGTAATTTTGTGTGTAGTACTTCCGAACACTGGAACATTTTATTTGAGTTCGAGCTGAGCCTTTTGTCAAATGCAAGCCAAGCACCAAAAACTCAGATCTTCTGGTTTCAGCATAAATACAAAATCTGCCTCCTTTTCAGAGTGAACAGCATGGATTATTATTGGAGCCCATTTAGAACAAGTTATCCCAAACACCCTTGGATATAATTCCTACAGTGATGTGACTTTCTTGCCTCAATTAATACTGATGCATCACTAAGTTTATCAATTTCTGGTGACTCAAAACATTATATATATATGTGAAAATACATTAAAATACACTATTGCCATAAAAGGAAACAAGTCTAAATAAGAACACTTTAATGTGAATATATAAATCTTTAATTTGGACATATAAATCTGTATTAAGAGCTGAATCCATCAGAAGGTTCTGTCTTGGCTACAATGCCATGTATTCTTTTATGGAGGCTTTAAAATCAGCAGGGCTGATTTGTAATGTTAGGCATCTCCCCTCTGGCAAACTCCTTGTCTAAACTTCCTGCAGAAGTAACCATCAGTTCAGCATGGTAAGCAAGGCCTGTGATTTAGTCGGTTCTCTTATTTAAATTGTCCTTTTAGAACACAACTATTGTGCTGCAAGGTTTGGGTTTCCTTTATTTTTTTTTTTAAACACAGTGATCGTAGTTATTCCAATAAATTAATAAATTAAGAAAATTAAGGCAGATAAATTATTTCACACACATACAAGCATCTGTCAGATGTGTCAGATGAGTGGTTTTTTGGTGTTTTTTCTTTTAATTATAGCAGGTGTGTTGTGTAAGAAGAGACTGTATTGTAAGAATGGAAAGATTTCATGTTTTTAAGATTTGATCACTCCATGTGGCTCTTCAGAGAGAAAAATACCACTTTTAAAGGTGATTTTCAATGCAGCAGAGATAGATAAATTGTTAAAAAGTGTCTAGTAATTAAAATAATAAAACTGGAAATGGCGCATAAGCAAGAAATAAGGAAGGATTTCTATTTTAAACCCTAAGGACAAGTGTCCCCTTGAAAATTACAAAGAAAATTAGTGGATTCTCCATTACTTGATGGCTTGAAGGCAAGGCTGGATTCTGGGTTGGCTTGGAGTCCAGGCTGGTAGAATAAGCTATGAAAACCCATCTCTTGTAATCTTCTTGACTCCCTTCTCACCCCTACTGTTTAATGCTGCCTCTTTCTCAGGTCTTGTGTTGGCTAAGAAATGAAGTCCGGCAGTGTATGGATTGTGCACAAATGCAGAGGTCAGGCAAAGCTAAAACCTTTGGTTTGCAAAGGAAAAATTTTCTGATATTTATTGCTGTAATATACAAAAATGAATCATTACAGTAGAACTGTGTTTCTTAGATGGCATATTAGAAGTGAAAATAATATTTTTCTGGTTAATTCCTTTTTCCAATTGTAGGTTCAGTGAGTGAGAAGCTGCCACAACGAGAAGGAGCAGGCAAAACAGGTAAATATCTTAGTTGGCCTTTAAATAGAAGCTAAAATAGCTGTGGGAGACACTACTCTGGTTTTCCATATATTTAAATTATCAATATAAATTTATGATATATTATAGCTGCATATGTAATATATATGCATGCATGTTATCAATTTTATATTAGAGTATAAATATATATATATATATATATATATATATATATATATATGCATAGACACTATGTTTTTCTAGTCTCAGTCCTATAGATTTTGCAATTCCGTGCTGTTTGGACAACAAGTTTTCTTCCCAGTTGTATACTCTGAAATATTTTCCCATAGTTTTTGCTTTTTCTGGAGGACAGATTATTCTGTCTGTATGATAAAGACAACATTCTTCAGTCCCAAAATCTTGGGAACTGGATTTCTCACTTTATTTCTATAGCAATCAGTGCTTGAGTCATCTTGGACCCCGCACTTGGCTTTATATTGAGATTAATTTATCTGATGGCTTATATTTAAGGCCAGAAGATTGTTGTTGTTTGATATAGGTCACGATGTATATCTTTTTGGCAGAACAAAATCTGATGTGAATATGACATTGCTTGTAGACTAAAATGAATGAGATGTCTGTGCTCTAAACAAAATTAAAATTTACACTCTCCAAACACTTGAAAGAATTCTAGATTCAGCTGAAAACAGCATACTGGAATTTCCATCAGTTACACTGCATAAATTAATTTTAAAGAAGTTACTCACTTTTGTCCTAATGTTAATACCTCTCTGTTTGGTGCATGGTAAAATATAACTCAATTTGTTTTATAGGCGCTTTTGCAGCGTAAACCTAACATTTAAATAAACTATGGTGCTGTTAGGCTAAAAGAATCAGTACTTCTTTAAGGCTAATGATTACAAAGTACTGAAAAATTGGTCCTTCATGCATTTCCAGACAAATTATGGGTTCCACTAACCTTGTGAAAAGGTTGCCCATTTTCTTCTGGTCTGGACTTTCATTTTCAGCTTTGAATGGAATGAACTATCCCATATATAAAACTTGACTGGTATCCTTTATTTTTTTTGTGACTGTGATGGCTGAACTACTGAACCCTGAATGAACACAAGGAAATCAACACAGTTTATCAAATCTCCCTTCTTACCACGTGTATTTGTGTCTTAAGTGACGTGATTGCATTTTACTCATGCCTGGTTTTTGTTCTCCAGCACAAGCCTGCAACATTAAAGGCTTCTGACCTGGTTCCCAGGTGGTCCCTGCTTCTTCTCAAATGCTGCTGTCTTCCTCTCCTCACCCTTCTTCCAGATGGATACTGCCTTATGCTTTAAATAAAGTAGTGTTGTCAGAGACATCCCAAATTCTTTAGGGACTCCCACAGAGTAGGGACCAGGATCATACACCTATGTGAGTTAAGGAGCTGCGCTTCAGCTTCACAGCCAGCGTGGTAAAACATATTTTGTAGCTCAGCTTGCAAGGGCAGAGTAGTATTTTTTGCAACAACCATAACCCTCTCTGCTCCTCTTTCCTCCACCTGTTCCTGTGGAGTAACAAGGGATGTCGGCCCATATTGTGGCCCAGCAAGCTTAGGCTGGTTCACAGGGTTCTCAGTGCTCCAGAGGACGTGCTTCAGATTTCAAGGTGTGGTCTCGAGGACTCTCCTCAAGAGTCAGCATAGATTTGAGGCAGTCTCCCCTTCCAAGATGTCTCATAGATATGGAGCTGGTGAGCCATATCTGTTGTACTTGTGCACCTTGCTTTCTCTGGGTGTTCCAATACTGAAAGAAAACTTCCAGCTGCAGATATTGGAGATCAGGGGCTCTGTTAGCATGTTTGTAAATTTAAACATTAAACTGAACAGAAATGAAGCTTAAAATTTATTCCCTTAAGTATGTTCTCTGGCTCCACAGTTCTTTCCTCTATCCAAGGAAAATATTTATACTCTGAAAAGCACAGGTGTCAGAGTTGGGATCACATCCCTTTTTTTGATTCTTAACTGACTGCAGGACTGTGTTCTTGAACTCTGACAGCAAACAGAATTTAAACAGGTTTATGTTTAAATACACAGACTAGTGTGAATGTGCCAGCCAGGAAGAATTGTGCAATTAGTCTGTGAGATATCTAATTCATATCAGTCATTGAACAGATGTTGTATTACAACAACAGCAACACCAAAACTGTTTTAAATGCTTCTTTTACAAAGTTCAGGAGCCTGATTTTGATTGGGCTGATTATCACTGAGTTGCAGCATTATGCTGAATTTCAGGTAATTACATAAGATTAAATGTGTCACAAACTGAAATTGTGTACCAAAAAATGATTAGAAAAGTGTAATTTAAATGCAGACCCGGTTTCTGGCTTGGTTCTGGGTAATATCTGCCTACCATAAGTTGCTTTCTGAAACAGTGGGTTTCCTGAATCACGTACTGATAGATGATCTAAATATGTGTCTTGATTTTTAGTACAGTAGGATGCTTGATGGCCTCTCTGTAATTAATCAATGGTCTTATTCCACCACCCAGAGGACACCACAGAAATGCCAGCAAAACTAATAAGGAGTGACAGTCTTTCATAGTATTGGAGCAAAGAATCCTGCCATTGTGTGGACACGAAGAATGAGCACTCTTAAAAGAAATCTTCTTATGCCTTGGTTAGATCATTTTGCATTGAAAATAACCTCCCGTTGCTGCTCCTTTGGTTTTGTATAAAGATCACTATTCCATGGCTGGAAATTTGGTTTTACCTGCTATCAGTATCTGCTTGGTGTCCGTATTTGCTGTCACCTAGACTGTGACCCTTAGAGGCAAAGCTCAGAGTGACCCCAAACCTTTTGCATGATTTAAAGACAACACAGAATTAAAACTACTCCAAGCAGTGATGGTGATAGCAAAGAGAACTGGAGACTCTTGGAATTGCACTAGCAGAAAGGAAAGGAAAGAGATAGCGTGTTAGCCTAAAAGCTGCTGCTCCCTTTTGCCCAGGTAAGGCTACATGCCAGAAGCAGCTTCTGAGTTACCTTTGATTCTGTCTTCCATGAAAATGCCAAGAAAACACTGGAAACTATTTTGGTCTGACATCCACTTGTGAAACTGTAAGAAATAGTCATAAAACCATTGCACGGAAGATGCTGTTTACTGCAGTACACCTTGGTCTTGGAGTTAGCTCCATGCCACAGGAAAATATGACTGGAAAATATGTACTAGCATGATCTCCTGAGTCATATTTACTCCACATCTGCAATAGGTTTAAATAACAAAAACATAATAAAGTAAAGATGGGTGTTTGGTGCCACTCTGTTTAGCAAAAGCTTGTTTAAATAGTTTTTTGTGTTTAATTTTTCTTTTCGAGTACTATGTCCACAGTGTTTTACTGAACCTAAAATGACTCACATCTTCTTGTCATTTCTGTAATTTTCCCTCCCTCATTTCTTGCAGTAATGGTTGCTAGTGGGTGGATGGAGAATGCTAGCCAGAGGATAACAGTTGTGCAAACAATATTCTGGTTATATAATCTGTGAATCTTGCTTGCAAATCAACTTGATTCTTGAATACATCCTGCTGTACTTAAAATTCCCTTTGTTTTTAAGGTGTATGCAGTCACTCATTCCTTCCAGACTGTTTTTGCTTTTGCAGGTCTCACTTCTTCTATACATTTATCTAATTATTTTCTTTTGAAATGCTCATTTTTCAGTTATAATCTTTAGGTATCAGTGTGCAGCGTTGGAAGTGAAGAATTACACTCCAGAGAGCAATCTGATCACTTCATGCATCACCAAAGAACTTGCAATAAATTCATCATCCATAACCTCAAACCCCTTCCATTTATAAAACATAATCTTTATATTTAATATATCTATGCTGTGTACTGCCTATAAAGAATGTTTAAATTATTGTTTACTGGCCGGGGCTATGTGCAAATCATTATTTTCAATCATGTATGTACACTTATTTAGCTTACTCTCATAATTGTAGTCTCCTTGCAAATCTTTTCCATTCTGAATTCAGATGATGCCTCAGCTCCTGCGCTGGAGACTCAGCCTCAGGGTGATGAAGAAGGTGAGCGAATTTAACAGTGTGGTATTAAACTGTGCAGTTACGGACTGTATTCCACAACATAAAATGCCATCCTAGCAGTATCTACAACTGCTGGGGCGGTTGCAAGAAAGTGCAAACATCTGTTCTTTTTTTAGGAACAGCAAAGACAACAAACACAATGTATTATAGTCTGGAGATGAGACTTTACCTGTGGAGACCAACATCAGCAATTTTAGTTGTTGTGACTGAGGGCAGACACAGGTTTTAAACTTGAGCCAAAGCGCAGATTAAAACTCTGTGTTCAAATAAACAAGTCAGAGGGTAACTTCTATCCTCAGCATAATGACTAGTAATATCACTGTTGAGGCTGATGTTTTGTGAGGCTTATTTGCCTCTGGAGAAATTAGTTGCCATTAAAGAAGCAATAATAGTCCTATGTTGTGGCTGCCTTATCACTCACCGCTAATCTTGCAGAATTTGGGTCTGCAGCCATTATATGTTTTGGGTCCAGAGGAGGACATTTTAATTTTAATTAAAAATAATTTTCATCTAAAAGTATTTATTGAACTTTTAGATTGAAAAATCTTCTGTATGAATAGCAAAGGAAAGGGCTATTCATGCCCTTGCATGAATAATAATCTTAACTGCCCTAATAAAAACCAATGTGGCCCTTTTTTTTAAGGTCGATGTTTCTTTAAACTTAGCCCTTGTTCAGTTGCTAATAACTTTTAAAAATGTTAACATTTATAAAGTATTTTCTGTTGCCTTTTTTTTTTTTCTTCTAGATATAGCTTCTCGTTATCCTACCTTATGGACTGAGCAAGTAAAGAGTAGACAGAACAAAACCAATAAAAGCTCAGGTAAGAAACTTAGGTCATCCTTACTTTGCAAAGTGCCTGTGAAGGTGTACGTGAACCATTTTAATAACCATCATGTTTCCACTCTCGTTGTATTGATGTGCCTTAATGATTTGCAATAGTGATGATTTACTCAGCTCATGCATCATACATTCCTTTATAGAGGAATACTTTTGGCCAGGCTTTATTTGGCTAAAAGGATATTCATCCACTAAAGTCTCTGGTTCATATCTATTTGCATCTGTTTAGAGGGTCAGACATTTATTTTTACATTCTTTTTAATTATCTTCCTCTTTGTTATCTGCTTATTTTTGGGTGATATGCAGCAAGAAGGTGCTTGTAAAACGACAGTGTGGATTACTGTTGTTTGGTGATGAATCTTAGAAAGCAAACCTGAAAAGAAGCAAACTGTCATTAGAAGCCAGTTTTTAGTGAGCAGGAATTGGAAAGACAGTGTTACCTGCTTTTTACTAGATCAGTCATCTGCTATTTACAAACTGATCACTAGTTTGATGTGAATTAATTATGTTGCTTTTTAAAAAATAAATGTGGAATTCTTGCTTTACTTATTTTCATCACTGTTTAAAATTGAGCTTTTTAAACCTGGATTAGGAATGTCAGGTGAATGTCCTAAGACTGGATTCTCCATAGTATTCAGATAAATTCAGTGCTTTGGTAGATGATAAATTTTGGTGCCTTTCTCATTGCTTCTTCCTTTCAGTGGCATAAACTTTAGAGAATCTTCCTAGTTTCTATTTCTGTGGAAAAATGTATAGTTTGAAGGGAAACATTAATGATGTAGGCTGTGATTCAGTAAATCATTCCAAACTACATTTCAAATCCAGTAGAAATTGAAATTATGCTTTACATTAAGTACTATGCTTAAGTATTTTAGTGAATTGAGGCCAAAAGCTTGTAGAAAAGACAAACAATCATCATAAGAAAGAACGCAAGATGCTAAAAGGTTGAAAGATTCCTTTATATAAGCTATTTTTAACATCAGTGCAATAATTATTAATCATTTTTCTCTCCTTGATTTTCCAGTAGGCACTTAAGGGGAGGACCTTAAACAGTGTAGACAAGAGTTTGAAGCAAATACTTTTCATGCTGGAGATTTAATTTTTCATTTCTTTAGTCAGTGTAGGCAAGAACAGAATTCCTTTGGGATTTCTGTAGCATAAAATATGTCTATAGAAATTTGTCATTTAGGAGTGTTTGTTTAATTTTTACAGTGCTAGAGACTAAAGCAAGACTTCTTGAGTTTGCAGTGTAGCTGCCAAAGCTTCAACACACACACGCAAACCTATATACACACAAAAGTGCACACACAAAGACAAAATAAAAAAGGTGGGTTTATTTCTGGGAACTGGTAACTTCTGGTGCATCTAAAAACACATTTCCTAGAGAACAGGAATCAGAAGCATAGTTTACCTCTGTTGGGACTCCTAGCCCATCATTCAAAGCATGATTGTGTTAGATTTGCTAACAGGACTTGCTCACAGTGGTGATGCCATACCCAGGCTAGCAGAATTACTTCAGGAGATACTGTGAAGCAAACATTTCTGTAATCAGTAGCTGTATCTGATGTGCCAGATTGACATAATCAATCAAGGTGAATCCAGGTGCTAAAAACAGTGTCCTCACTGATTGTTGTAGGCAGGTTTTTAAGGTCTGAAAAAAAAAGAGAGTAAGATTTTTTCCCTTATTACCTCTCAGAGTGGTGCCAAGGCTTTTGGGAACATCTACAGAGAATCAACTTTGGACTGTTTTGTTTACTGAGCAGGAAAGGACTTTCCAATGAATCCAGTAGATTGTAAACTTGCCATCTTCCCAATTCCAGGCTTCAATATAAAGGATAACTATAGATGTCTTCTTCACTCAGTTAGCTTAGTAAACTCTGATTCAGACTTGATCATATAAACATCAGAAAGCTTACTGAAAAGTATTTGTCTGAGGAAAATGAGGAAAATTTATCTCTGCATAGGAGCTGTGTTTATAAAACAAAACACAAAGCCAAATTTATTCATAATGGGCTAAATTTTCCTTTTTTTTTTCTATAGTAATCCTAGTGCTGTCTAAGAAATTCTTGCAAATAACACTGTCATCTAGCCTTGTCTATAGAACATAACTAAAAAAAGACAGAATTAAAATTTCAGGCAAGATACTTATATCCTATTTACCGACTTACTATTTTAGTCTATAGTGCTGTCTTCTTGCTAGTTTGTACTTGAATATATGTTCTAATGTACCATGATCAATATGTGATCTACAAACTTGTCTTGAGCTGAGAAATCAATCTTCTTAGGAGAAAGGTTTTGTAAGTTAAGGTCTCAAATTAGTACATTAAACTTGTTTTAATTAATACATTAAATTTGTTTTAACCATGAAGTGGTTTGCTTTTACTATTCTGCAAATGACCTGCCAGTTACAATTAGTTGGTAAAATCAACATAACCTATTTTAGGTTTTGAAAGATAGAAAATAATGGCTCAGGAAATTCTAGTTTATATTAGTTCTCCAGTGCATTCATTTGACTGAATGAGCCTAAATTAATTTAGCACAGGGTAATGGCATTTGCAAGACTCACAGATGCAAGGCATGAAACTAGTGGATTATATATCCGTGTTCTATAATGCCTTCTAGTGTATGTTCTTTTTGTTGGCTCAGAGAAATAGGCCTTTCCCTTCACTTAAGACATTTGTGGAGTGGTATTTAACCTATTAGTTTTTGAAAACAAAATTTTACTCCTGGAAAAAATGCCATCAACACTAGGTTATGTTACAATAGCTCTGTTTAGAGTGGCTGTTTTGAGTAGAAACATCTCAAAAGATGTTTTGGTACATTTAACATGATTTCCAAAATACTTTTTCTTTCCATACTTAGACTATTCATCTCATTGCTAAAATAGGTTTTGCTGAGATACTTTATACATGTGTCACAGTGCCTTTGTAAATATTTTATAACTACCCCCACGCTCCTAATTTCTTCCTCCATTTCACAGAAAACATTGTGGATTTGCCATGTTGGATTGACAGAAGTAAGAATTTTACCAACAGCTATAGAAAATAAACAGAAAACATTGAACAAGGGACCGCATGGATTCTGATTAAGACATAGCCTACACTGTTGTGTGTCTATGAACTCAGGGTCTAAATTCCTGCTAGGAATTTAGGTAAGGTGACTAGTTTACATCTGTAGCTGTTATTAAGGTGTCTGCGCTTTAGGTGAACTTAGTCCCACACCAGTATCAGTTGGAAATCCAAGCACTTTATGAGTGGAGAAGACAGTGCAGATACTTTCTCATCTCCTAACAGGGACAATCCACTTTCCTGAGGACAGCTCAGGGTGGACTGTAAATGTCTTAGGTTCTCCTTGCTAAATCTGCTCTATCAGCAGGTTATATCCCTGTGGGATTCTTGGCAACACAGTGTGATGTTTTTCAGAGGTTGTGCACCATTTTTTATGTTTGAGTATAGACAAAGAATGTGTAGTTTAATTCTTTTCACAATGCCCAGTGAACTTCAAATTCGTCTTGTTAGCTTGAATTTGAGAGCCATTATTTTCAAATAGTCTCTTGCGGGAGCACTTTCCTGAGAAATAAATAGGGTGAATTTAAGTGATAACATTTTTAATGTTCAAAAAGGTTCTTAAAGTACTCAGGAATTTCTCAGTAGAATCTGTACACCACAGAATAAACCATACTTTGTGTAAAATTTCATTAATTTTGCGAATATAAGAAAGAAAAAGTAATCCGTAACCTGTAGTATACATATATAGGTACTTAAAGACCTTAGAAATTCTGGTGATGCAATTCAAGATAAAAAAATGTTTGAATATTGTTCTAGTGGCTAAAATACTGTACAGTTTCACCTATTTACTATTCAGTTCTATTCTTTCATTATTATACTTTCATCTGTTTCTGTAGTGATGTAATACTAGTGTAGGAGTTATTATTTATATGTTCATTGATCCTACATTTGTTGATTGTGCATTTAATGAGCACTGTAATGGGGTTGTAAAACTGGTGTTTGTTGTGTTGATAATCCAGTATGACCAGTATGACCAAAACAGAAGAGAGGAAGAAATTGTTGCCGTTCTTTGTTGACCCAATAGTTCACATTTCATCTGAACCACACCGACAAGTGATGCAGTGTTTGTGCCAGCTCTGTGATTTCTGCCATCTTTATGCTTATATACTTTAAGCAGGTACAAGGTACATAATCCATCAAAAATAGGGTTGACCCAGAGAAAATCCTGATCTGCCATTAAGGTTTCTGAGGCAGGATCAGGTTTATGTGATTGTGACATCTTTCCTCCAGAATGAAGAATCCTAAATCACAATTAATTGTCTCCTCAAACTATGGTGTTAGTGATTTCAGGAGTATCCAGATTTCAAACCCCTTAATATGGATATTCTGGTAATGTAGAATCATCATCATCACAATTTTTTACTTCACCTGTGCACATGTGAAAGGGACACAAACCCTTTTTATTTAATTTTCTGACACAATGGAGTGGTGTTTTATTGCTGCCTTTTTGCTACAGACTATCATTTTCAGGACTTAAAAAATCTGTTGCAAGATTTTATCATTTAGTCCCAGAGAGTTTGATCCAACAAGAGTTTCATTCTCAAAACACTATCTGGGATAACAATGATGTGTACATACAGCAATGTATTATAGACTCGGTGCTAATGCAAATGAAAAGTTGCGATGTCTGCTGAGAATATCTTCTTAATAGACTAAAATAATGAAATCTAAAGTGATAATTATGTGTTTGTATCTATACAAAATAGCTGCTTGCATTTATCTGTCTGTATGGTCTGAATCTGTTGGCAAAGTGTGCCAGTAAGACTGATTAATATGACAGAGTAACATTCTAAGAGGTGAATTTAGGTTTTATTGCCATGTCATCTGACAGCTTCAAAGCATTTTTACATTAGAGTTTTTCTCACATGGAAACTATGTTGGTTGTCAGTGAGGTTTCTGTGTTGTTAGCTTTCTT